TAACAGGAAGTCCGCTATTTTTGATTACTTTCTGTCTCTTTTAAAGTGGTCAGAATTTATTGAACCCCCTCATGAGATTTAATCTAGTGTCCTTGAAACATTCGATGGTTCATCTAAAGAGATTCAAAATAAATTTATGACTTAAATTCAATGTGAAGGGTTAAAATAATTCTGACAATGTTTTAGGGACAATATTTCAAGTCGGAATTTGCTTCATAAAAAGTGTAATGAACTTACTTTTTGTTTTCTCATTGAATGGGCTCTCAAGGATGGACAATGTTTTCCTGAAGGGTTTTTCAGGGGGTACCCCACCTACTGCCCAAAGAAGGCTGGGATATGCTCCAGGACACCTGCGTGCCTCGTGAGTATAAGCAGTTCATATAATTTTTGCTTATGAACCTTAAAAAAATTGAGATGTTGCACTTGTTTCAGGACATCACTGTTTTGATAAAAGTACCGTATTTTCACAACCATAAGATGTACATAAAAGTTTTCAATATTCTCCAAAATGGCACCGAACAATGTGGGTCGCCTTGTGTATGCACCAAATTCCAAAATCTGTGAATGCTGTTGTGTGACTTCTATAACGGGGCCACTTGACAGAGTGTTGTGCCGACATGTTGCTTATACAGAATCAAGGCGGCTGTAACTGAGGACAGCATGCGGACGTTAAAGTGGGAAGGATGGGCGAGAATGAGGAACCTAAAGGCACGCTCCAGGAGATGCCGGCACGTGCATTGTGCAAAATAACATCCTGAAAATGTCACCTCCTAAGAGACACGTTACGAAGCACAGGTTAAACTGAAAGCTATCAGTTACGCAGAGGAATCAAGCAGCCAAGAGAGAATTCAAAATCCACTAATCCATGTTGTTTGGTGCTTTTGTTTTATGAAACAGCGGCATCTATCCATCCGAGCAGCGACCAATGTGGCGCAGCAACATCTGGCGGATTACAAGGAAAAGAATTTTCCGCTCCTACTGCAGTCAAAAGTGTAAGGTTCAGCGTTACATTAAATCAAGATGCTTTCTCTGAGGCCTTAAGCCTTTATTCTGCCATTCTGCTTCCATTACCTACTGTTCTCTCAACCAATCCCCACATTCCTACATACCCACTTGGGCTTTAGCAAGTGATGGGAAACAAGCATAGTTTTCATTTTGAAATACAACAAAAACATTGCTGACAAACACATCCAGCCCAACCACATCACCAATATGGATGCGGTGCCGTTCACTTTCGACATCCCGGTGAACACACTGAAGAGAAGAAGCGGACCAGCACAGTAGCAACACGCACAACTGGGCGCGACGGCTTTTACTCTTTTGCTTGGTTGCCATGGTAATGGACAGAAAATGCGAAGCGAAGTTGCGTGCGGCGTAGGAGCGATGGCCAACACAGCTTTACTAAGCCTGGGAGACAGCGCCGGGCGTGTTACGCCGCAATTTGTGAATGGATTGTGGATGCTTGGGCCCTTTGAGTGATTAAGGGACATACAAATCAACATGGCTTCAATCTTTCCTATCCCTTTTGTAAATTAACTGTGTGTTATGAGATGTCATAAGGGGAAATAAAGTGAAGATTCTAAAGGCCCAGGAATCCTATAAAATAATGTGAAATTTGCATTGTTGAAGTCGTGACGCCTTATTTGCACCTCCGCCTCACAGTACAGAGGTCCAGGGTTTGAATCAGGACTCCAGCCTTCCTGTGTGGAGTTTGCATGTTCTGCCTCTGACTGCATGGGTTTTCTCTGGGTACTTCGGTTTCCTCCCACGTTCCCAAAATATGCATGGTAGTTTGATTGAGCACTTGGTGTGATTGTGAGTGCAAATGGTTGTTTGTCTATGTGCCCTGCAATTGGTTGACAACCACTTCAGGGTGTTCCCTGCTGACTGCCCGAAGACAGCTGGGATAGGCTTCAGCACATCCGCAACCCTTGCCACAAACTGGGGTTCGGATGACAGATGGATGGATCGAGTTGTGAGGGCAAAAGTAATATTTTACACAGGAAGCTCAATTCCCTGGTCTACAGATCGACCCAAGTGGCAATCAGGACAGCAACGTTTTTTTTCTTATTTATCGGCCTGGCTTTGAAATGAAATGAAACTATGGAAAAGTGTAGTTGAAGCCAGAGGAAGAGCAGAAGTTAGCCTTTGTGAGCAGTATGGTTTCATGCCAAAAAAAGAGTAAGACAAACACAGTATTTGCTCTAAGGATGTTGATAGAGAAGTACAGAGAAGGTCTGCGAGAGCTGCATTGTGTCTTTGTAGATCTGGAGAAAGCATATGACAGAGTGCCCAGAGAAGAAATGTGGTATTTTATGAGGAAGTCTGTGGTGACAGCAAAGTATGTTAGATGACTGTATGATGACTGTCAAACAGTGGTGAGGTGTGCTGTAGGTGTGACAGAGGAATTCAATGCGGAGATGGGACTTCACCAGGGGTCAGCTCTGAGCCTCTTCTTATTTGCTATGGTGATGCACAGGCTGACAGACGAGGTTAGACAGGAATCTCCATGCATTATGATGTTTGTAGATGACATTGTGATCTGTAGTGAGAGCAGGGAACAGGTGGAGGAGAAACTAGATAGGTGGAGGTTTGCCCTGGAAAGGAGAAGAATGAAGGTCAATCGAAGCAAGATGGAGTATATGTGTGTGAATGGGAGGGACCCAAGTACAAGAGTGAGGTTACAGGGAGAAGAGATAAAGAAGGTGGAGGATTTTAAGTACTTGAGGTCAACTGTCCAGGGCAATGGAGAGTGTGGAAAAGAGGTGAAGAAGCATAAACAGACAGATTGGAACGGCTGGAGAAAAGTGTCAAGTGGGATGTGTGATAGGAGAGTTTCAGCTAAGATGAAAGGAAAGGTGTATAAAACTGCGGTGAGACCAGCCATGCTGTTTGGACTGGAGACAGTGCCACTGAAGAAAAGACAGTCGTCAGAGCTGGAGGTAGCAGAGATGAAGATGTTGAGGTTCTCTTTGGGCGTGACCAGGTTGGATAGGATCAGGAATGAGTATATGAGAGGGACAACTCATGTCAGAGGTTTTGGAGAGAAAGTCAGAGAGGCCAGACTGAGATGGTTTGGACATGTCCAGAGGAGAGAGAGTGAATGAATATACAACAGCAAACTGTGTAGAAATCCTGGGGCAATGTACAAAATGGCAGTGGATGAACAGTCGCACAATGGGTCAGAGGAGCTCACTGCGAAATCTTTATGTATTCAAATTGCCTTCAAAACATGCACCTGTGATTGTTGCCCACTGAATTTACGTATTATTTGTGTGTAAACCGGTTTCATACCAGTCAATTTTGTCAGTTAAAGACAAAGAAATTAAGCTAATATTGGATTACTTTGACAATATTGTGTTTGACAAAGAAATACACGGAACCAGTTGACATACAAATAGTGATGTCAACGTTTCAATGTCACTATTAAAACTGTCAGTTGCCCAAATAGTTAATTTTGTTTGATTGGTTGTTTTTCATTAAATAGCGTTAAAAAAAACTAAAATAAAATATTATGTGGTCTAGATAATGGATGGATGAAATAAAGAGTCCACGGATGCATATTTTGCTGTTTGTGATTCTGTGTTCTGCTACAAATGTCTGTTTTGTTGTTCTCAATCTGTATCCATTAGAAACTAATTGATTTGATTCTAAATGTTTGTTTTGACACGGCATGCATGCCCACCCCACTTACGTTTCATTTCATTTACCCTATTTTATGAAGGTGGGGTTAAAATAAATCCTGAGAAGGGCAATGAAAACAAACAAAAACCCTGGAGAAGCCTCTTTCAATTGCTGAGTAGACTCTTTGTTTTGATACTGTACATAAAAATATTGCTGTGAATGTGCATGTGCACACCGTACCGCTGCCGGATAAATTAAACGTTGACTCTCACCCTCAAATGAATGAAATCTCTTCCAGGATATATAGATTTAGTCAAACACAGTACTGTGACCAAATAAGCCTACTTTGAATGGAATGAAACACGATAGGAGCTAGTGGACATTTCTATTGTAACCTATTAGTCGATGCTGATGAGGAGGTCAAGATAGAAGGAACTATCTAGTTCCTGAAAGCAAATAACCCCCCGACCCCATCTCACACATTCACCCGCACGCACGCACACGATGCTCGCACACACAGACATACGCGCGCACAAGAGCGTACGCACAAGCAGTAAAAATGCCCTCTTACCAGTATCCTCAATTGTGTCTTGGCACTCCATTGCGTATAACACCCTGATCGGCTGCACAGCAAAGACCCCAACCAGATCTATTCCTCAACTGTAGCGTGTAATCTCAATGTGTGCCCCACAGGTTTTTGTAACCGCCCGACTGCGTTGTTGATGAGACGCGCATGGCGTATGTGTGTGTGTGTGTGTGTGTGTGTGTGCGTGTGTGTGTGTGCGCGCGCGTGTGCTTGGTTGTCAAGTTTCCTATATTATGGACGATATTATTTGGTATTTGACGGAATGCTGCAGTGTTTCGGTGCTGAAGCGTCAACAGTCCAGCTGGTACCGCCCACTTGCAAAAGGGAATAAAGGAGCGAAGAAACCACCAACCAGCAAGTGCGGAGGTGTTTCAGACATCAAGATGTAAAAGCTCTCACGTCGATAGCACCTCCAAAAAAAGGCATTTTAACGATCCATGAGACAGTACCTGCATGTGAGTGGTCAATGTGAAAAGATTCCAACAAAGAAATGAACTACAGTATTGATAATTGTGGTTGTGGTTACATGAAATCAGGTCAAACATCCTAATTGTAACTAATTGTTATTAACATTTGATTGTGTTGATAATATGTAGACGTAGTATTATAGGACGAAGAAATGCGATGGTACAGAAACGCATTCGTGATCTTTCCCTTCAGTTATGGCTACATTCTGTTTTAGTGCTCACTGCGGAGACTTTTGGGTCTCCAATTGAGCGATATTTATCACGACCAATTTTTACAGCATCATCAAATTTTGACAGACATTATACAGGAAATTAGTAATTACCTTACCATTCATAGATCCGAGGCTGTCATATTTAAATAAAAACAAAAAATTAGGTTCCACAGTAAACCATGAACGGAGAATTTACCTTTTCACTCCCGTGATAGAAATTCCAACTGTTTCAAAATGTCAAAGAATATTTACAGCTATTGCCGGGAACACTTCTGACTTGAAAAAGAAAAGGGTGGAGGAGGAAGTGTTTCTGAACTCCCCAGGTAAAGATCTCCTCCCACACATGCAGAACACCTTGTCTGGGAGTAGCCGATTGGCCAAAAGCAGAGGATAATTGCTCAAACTTTTTGCTCAGAACTGCTCAAAAATTAAACCACACTAAAACATAGTCTAAACTGCACAGGTGTCTGTCCTGTCGAATAAGGAATATGTAAAGGTTTTTGGTTGTTTGGCAAAACGATACCGTTGTATCATTATATACGGTAATAGCCTAGTTTCAGCGTCCTTCGTGAGGTCGGCATTCCTCGATAGACGTGTTCGTACTTGCACGTTTTGTCTTTTTCCAAGATGCACTCCATTGAAGTCACTGAAATGACACTTCACCACAGCGTATTTTACACACACACACACACACACACACACACACACACACACACACACACACACACACACACACACACACACACACATATATATATATCGACACCGATCGAAATTACACTATGGTCTCAGTCCTCGGATACAAGAGGATTGACAATCACCTCGTCGCCTCCTCCCAGGTTTACAAACATTAAGGTGGTGTGCAAAGGCAAGACGACGCGGCACATTGGAGATGATACTGCTCGATAGCTTCGGCGGATAGAGACGCAGCACGGGACCTTAAAGCCGCTCTAGTGGAAATATTTTGCCTTCCCAATGAGTTATGTCGAAAACGTTGTCGTCGGGGCATCACAAAGATGTTGATTTGACTACGAAGCAAACAAAATCGCTCGTCCATCCTCATTTGCAACAAAATTTACACAGACCTCAGCTCCCGCAAAAGCTGTAACTAACGTTTTCGGGTTATTTATCGCAGCAGACCTGTAACCTTATTCGGTGGTGGAAAGCGCTGGATTTAAACATTTAATAGTACACTTGAGCCACGCTTCATATAATAAGCCCAGCAACGATCGAGAAAAAAGTACAAATGCCAATGGTGAATCTCAGGCAGAAAAAAAAATCCAAAATACGTGTTTTGTTTTGTTTTATAATTGTTTAATTGTTATGATATAGTTTAGGGCTGTAATCTTTCCATGACTTTGGACATGACTGTTGTATTTTTAATGTATTTTGTTTTGCTGTCCATTGTTGTTTTAAAATGAGTGCACGCTGCTATAACCAAGAGTCATGAGATTGCAGGCACCTTCAGTGAATTCTCATTTTTGCTATTACTGTTCTGATGTTTGTCTTTGTTCCACTAGACTGAGAGCAAGATTGTTACCTTTATATTGTAAATAAATGCTAAATGTTATGATTGATTACACAAGAATAATGACTTGTCTGCAAAAGGCATGCTGGTAGGTTTCTGTGTTGTAGACAAAACAAAATCTAGATAGAGAGAAAAAAATATATATATAAGGGAATACTTGAAGTTACATTGTGCTGTGTTCCCTGTATTTCTCTCTCTCTCTCTCTCTCTCTCTCTCTCTCTCTCTCTCTCTCTCTCTCTCTCTCTCTCTCTCTCTCTCTCTCTCTCTCTCTCTCTCTCTCTCTCTCTCTCTCTCTCTCTCTCTCCCTCTCTCTCTATATACAGTATAGATAGATAGATAGATAGATAGATTAATATCTATATGGATATAGATACATATATATATATCTATATATATATATATATAGAGAGAGAGAGAGAGAAAGAGAGAGAGAGAGAGAGAGAGAGAGAGAGAGAGAGAGATACCTGAGTTGTGTATGGGCAGCTTGGGTTCAGTTCCCACTCAGTGATGGTTTTAATGAATGTGAGTGTAATTGGTTGCTCATGTGGCTATATATGACCTGCAAATGACTGCGACCAGTTCAGGGTTTAGTCCGCCTTCCGCCTGAACTCAGCTAGGATAGGCTCCCGTGATCCTGAACATGATAAGCTGTGTTGAAAATGGATGAATGGATGCATAAGATAAGATAAGATATCCTTTATTTGTCCCACACTGGGGAAATTTACAGTCTACAGCAGCAAGATTGTGGGTAGAAAGAAGAAAGAAGAAAAACAAAGTGTTTGCATTCACAAAATAAAAGTTACACTATATTCAGTTATATGTATATTCAGTTCTCACACAATGAGAGTGCAGATGCGCGTGAGACTGAATGTTTCTAAATCTCTATATGTTCCCTAAGATTGACTGGCGACCCAGGGCAGGGTATCTGTCATTTCCTTGAAGTCAGCTGAGATAGGCTGCAGCTCATCTGTGAAAACGGATTGAGAGAAAAACAATCCTGTATCAAAATCCGCAGAGGAGGACATTGACTGTTTGTAATTGTTGCTCAAGTATACTAGAATGAAAATGCACTTTATGATAATAACGTTAATGTGCATATAGTGATGGTAACATGTTTCGTCAAGAGTAAATGACTCCAGGCAGAGTAAACCAACCTGAATAACGCCATCAGCGCGGCCTTCATCATAGTGACTCAGAGCACAGCCCCGATGTTTGGTGTGAGTGCCACCTCATGCAGAGGCAAAGACAGGGAGTACTGTTTGCAAAATATTTCACTCTTGGGTGTCACTGTGGATGGTGGTGGATTCAAGGTTTCCCTTGACAGAAAGTAAACGCCTGGTCTTGGTATGAAAGGAATGAGTTCTGCATTTGAATGAGTTTAACTGATCATGTCCATTGTTCTTCAGAATAAGAGCAAGCCCTCGGTGTCGTTTTACCAACCACACCCAAAACCTCACCTAAGTTCATGAGTGAATTAGAAAGGAGGGTTTTCTGTGAAATTCTTTTTGTTGTACCTAGAAACACTGTGTCCATGTTGCACATTTGGTATAATTATTGTTTTGTTTTGTTTTTTTTTTTTAATTAATATTGGTTTCATTCTTGCACCACCATAAAAAAGAAACAAAAAACATAACAGTAGCTTTCAAACTACAAACAAAAGGATCATACAAAAATGAATAAGTTGAAAAAAAAAACCCTCCTGATGTGTAAGGTCAATAAAATATTCTATTATGATGGCATGGATTAAAGCCTGGCAATGATTTTTTTTTCTGACAGATTCTTCTTTAAAATGTACATAAGAGCTGTGTCCAAATTCAGACAGAGGCTGGGTCTTCTGAAGAAAAATTCGCAGACTTGGTCCTTGAAAGGCCCCTTCTCATGGAGCCCACATAGACCGAATAAATCGTGGTGAATTTGGACAGGCTTATGCGTCATTTGAGGAAGTCGGACATTTCTGACCTTCAACCACAAAAAGTGCATGAACTGGGAGGTCCGAGTTGCACCGTCGACAAAAATAAAGACACCAACATCACCAACCAGCTTCAATATTAATGTCACTCAACAACGGCGACTCCCCCAATGAGACAAAGACAGTGAATGGCAAAACATAATGTACAAGATTCAAAACATATCTTTCTTTCTCTATTATGACATGAATTTCACTAGCCAACATAACGTCATGTAACACATCTTGATTTAATTTGCACTACCCGTGTGAAGATATGCCATTGTCGAGTGACATCAGATTGAAACCGGTCGGTGAAGTCGGGTCCTTTTTTTCCCGACAGCGCAACTTGGACCTTCCAGTTTGAAGGGGCATTCAAGAGTATTTTTCTTCATCGAAAGTCGGAATAGTCTGACTTCCCACCTTTCTTGAATGCAACCTAAGTCCGTGCTTTTGGAGGATCCAACCTTGTGAATTTGGTCTTTACCTGATGAAACACTGGGCAGTTTTGCTTGACAAAGTTCTCCCCACAATGATGCCCACGACAAGTCTTCTAGCTCGTATTCCAACATGTATTCATAAAATATTGGAGTCTTTTGAGAAGAGCGTTTTAAACATAAACTGCTCCCTTCAAATGGACACCTTCCTTACTGCGCTCAAAGCATTAGGTGGTCAGGCCCTTCCGAAAAAGAGCCATTTAGATTTAAAAAATGATGCTCGCAACCAGCGACGGTGATTTGAGACAGCTTTACCTGGGGTGGCGAGGGGGTGGCAGGAGGTTCAATTGAGAGAGCACACATATGCACGGACACACACACACACACACACACACACACACACACACACACACACACACACACACACACACACACACACTCAAATTCAGGTTTTAATTTCTGCATTCCCTGGCAAGTTTCATGCATGTCACGTGAATAACTTATCTTAATGCTGAGCGCTATCCCAGTCTGTGTCAGCTATGCAATAACATTTCTCAAGTAGGACTGCCACAAGCGATTATTTGCTTGTCGGCGAAGCAGTTGCAATTAACTTTTCATCCCGGCTGTGGAACAGTGGACCAGCTCTACACTCCTGGCAGAGTGGATGGGAGTTCGCCCAACCAGTCTACATGTGTTTTGTGGACCATGTCTCTTGGGGAATTCAATGGGGGATGTTTCAACAGTATGGGGTACCAAACCTCCTGATATGGGCTGCTTGGTCCCTCGACCACAAGTCGAATCAGTTTCCAATGTGGGTTAGATGCTGCCCTTTGTCACAGATTCTATTCATAACCTTCATGGACAAAATTTCAAAGCCAAGGCGGTCAGCACCTCCAAATCTGTGACCATGGTGGAGTGCCCTCTCCAGGTCAGGGATGAACTCCTGCACCAAGTGGAGTAGTTTAAGTATCTTGGGGTCTTGTTCACAAGTGAGGTCACGATGGAGCGGGAGATCAACAGACGGATCGGTGCAGCGTCTGCTGTGATGAGGACTTGGTGTCAGTCTGTCATGGTGAAACTCTCGATATACCGGTCGAGATCTGTTCCTACCCTCACCTATGGTCACGACCTGTGGGTCGTGACCAAAAGAATGAGATCCTGGATACTAGCGGCCAAAATGAGTTTCCTCCGCTGCTGGAGGCTCTACCCGCTATTGGCAAGTCAAGTCAAGTACAACTTTATTTTCTCAAATGCGCTGTATGTGCAACATACAGCACAGATGAAATTTCTTCCCTCTCAACCAGAGAACAAGACAACAAGAGGAGCCGCTGCGGGTGCCCGCGCCGCCATCAAAAGAACAGTTAACATAAAATGACAAAATAATACAACACAACACATAAGACACAGACAGTCGTGCAATCTTAACCACTTTTTCTGCATACACTTTGTTGTTTGAAACAGTTATAGATGAAAGAGAAGCGAAAGTACAATTCATTCAAGTCATTCCGTGTGAGCCTCCTTGTGTCTACTGTATATTTGTTACTATCATTGATTTGTGTTTTAATTTACTGTTTTAACTTACTTTTGTTGTTGCATTGTTCTTATGTTATATATAAAGTGCTTAATTACAGCTGTAAGCTCTTGTGAAATGCACAAATAAATAAAGTTCTATTGTGACCACAATTTTTCATCATTGCAACTGTGGGGCTACATTGGATCACGCACTTCTTAACTAGATGTTTGACAAAAACGCTATTTTAAATTGGACGAAAATCGTGCATACGTGCAAAATGCATGCTCTTGATATATTTAATTGATACTACAATTTTGAATACTGTACATGTATACATGTTTTTTTTTTCCCCAAGATGGCGCCCGAGTAGGCAGCCTTCTGCAAGTGCTCTTCAAGACCCTTGCTTTTTTGTTCTTTTTTTGTTGTTTTTGTCTTTTGTTTTGTCACATTTTGTTTGTTGTTTCATCGTGTGGACCTGAAATGGACTGTTTTCAGCATTTTTTGGCCACGACATTTGTCAAAGGAGAAGTATCTGTGCTTGGTGGTTGCGCCTTCTCGGCAGCACGCCTGTACCAGCACAGATTTTGATTGGGAGGAATGTCGGCGCCATTGACTGTCGGTGCTGGACAGACCTGGGGCGCTTGTGTTTTTTGCGCCTGTAATGGGCAGCATTTTTCACAACCCCGTTTTGTTCAGTGGAGATGTCGGCGCTGTTGGACAGTCGGCGTTGGTGCGGCTGGATGGATGGCTTGAAGTTGAGGATGAGGAGAGAGGAGCGTTGGCGCAGAGCGCCGATGCGTATTTGGAACCGAGAGCCGCCGCTTGGAATTGAAATGGATTTCCATGGGACAGGAGAAGTGAACCAATCTCTTTTTTCGTCAATGGATGCTACAGCTTGTTGACTTTGAAACTTAGCTTGTAGCCAACGTGTGCACATTTTGAGCATGACGTCTCTGATCCACTGGTGAAAGGACACTTTGATTCTCTCCTCTTTCATCTCAAACTGCTTCAAACAACAAAGCGTGTCCCGGAAAAGTGGTTAGGACTGCACGACTGTCCGTGTTTTATGTTATGTGTTGTGTTTATTATTTTACTTTATGTTAACTGTTTTGTTAAGCGCTTTGTTACAGCTGCCGCTGTTGTGAAAGCGTTATATAAATCAGCATGTATTGTATTGTATTGTATTGTATAAAATATATCCTATCCCCAGAACAAAGGGTTTGAAGCAAACAACAAAATCACCACCTACTGTATTTTTTCCCAGGGAAAGGGCTGTCTTGCAAAAAAAAAAAAATACCAGCCAACGATGGCACAAAACTGATGAACAAGAAACCAAATTTAAGTGCAAGAACTTATTTTGTCCATTTCTTGCACAAAAATCAACTCACTCAAAATTGTGATATTATTGAGGTACCATATTTGTCATGTATTTCATTTCAAATCCACCAAAAAAAATAATAGGCCGACTCTCGTAGTTATGGGCAATGTCTGCACAATCAAGACATGGCTGCCATCTTGTGGTGATTAGTCATATTAAAACTTAAAACAACTGTTGACTCCTGCATTTGCAGTTCGGCACCCGAGTATTTGTATTTTTTTTTCTTCGTTTTTTCATATTCTCGTTTTTTTGTGTAAAACGTATACTGAATATTTATCTGCGTTTCTTAAAGATGATAATTTTTTTTCACTGCAGGTTGCGAGTTGCCCATCCTTGATCTTGCTCTTTGAACAAAAACAGTATATGAGTGGTTCCCTTTTTGTCGTGTACCCACGAATCTTTTTATCATTCCATGAGCACCCCCTTACATATACGGGTTAATGCGCAGAACGTACGTTATGTTACATAACTGATTATTAAATTAAAATCTTTTTTTTTGTCTGCTTAACTTGAATATTTAATTCAAGTTTTATATATATATATATATATATATATATCAATGTTGTCATTACTCTGTTTTCATAAATTATAAGGGGTAGCAATGGAATCAATGAAGCTATACTGTATATAGTGTAGGAAGACATAAAACAAGTGTTATAATACTATCACCTGGAGGGGGCAGTAACGCACTACTTATGTCTCGTCCGCCAAGACAAGGGAAAAAAAAACGTGCCAGTTGTGTTGATCAACTGGAGACAGTTGGTTACTGCAGAGGGCTACCTTCACGTCGTTCCACTTCCTCGTTCCACAAACTTTTGACGTAATTGGCACGTCCGAACGAGACGAGACATTATTCTGTCCGTTTTATCAGCGTATACATCCGTCAGATATTTAAATTATTATAACTAATCCATCCATATACACACGAGTTGCGTGACTGTAATCCAACAGTAATCTTGGAATATGTCTGAGAACCGAGGAAAGGAGAACAACGACGAAGAACAACTTCAAGGTGCCGTAGGTGGGGAAGGTACGTCGATCAGCACCGTGTTAACATGCACAGATGAAACTATGGGAGTTTTTACATTAAACTGGGAACAAAATGTTTTTGCCCTCAAGTTTTGTGAGTTTGAAAAGCAGTTTGAAAGTTGTTGCCAACAGCTTGTTTGACAACTATCAAATTTGTTTGGAAAGTTTTACAGGCCGTGGCCTGGAAACTTGCGGCCTCGGGTCGTAAAATACAGAAGCTTGTAGTAAATTTGATGTTGGTCACGTTCGGAAATTAACTCTGACGCCCGTGCAACTGCTCCAAGTGAATGCGTTCGAAGACGCAGAGTGCCCTGCGCTCCCATTAGTTTTCGAACGTAGCCCGCACTGGCTCAGCATGTCCCGAGTCGAGCGCCGAGTGCGCGCACCAGAAGGTCATTTTAAATTTGAGCAACGTTCTGAGTTTTCCGAACGGTACAAGTTAAGTGAACTGCGCTCGGAGCATATTTCCTAACATGTCCCGTAATTTAGCAAGTATATCTCTTCCGTGGGCGGTGTACAGATATGAAAACAGAACAACATTGTTAAAAATTGAGTACAGTGTATTTACATAAGTGTCAGAGATGCGAATTGAAATGTCATGTGAATATGGGAATAGTAACCAGCTGTTTTAAGATGCTAGCCCTTTGTAAGAGAGTAATTTGATAGATACCAAACTTTAGATACAATCTTAAGTAATTTTAAATTCACTAATCATTATCTTTGACTTTAATTGCTCTAAATATATTTTATAGATAGTGAAAACAAATTCGAGTGAGATTTACGTGGAAACAAAACTTCTACAGGCTTTTCACCCAGAAATACTAAGTACATTTTATTTATTTATTTGTTTATTGAATATATAACATATTCAACACACAATAAAACAACAGCACAATATATAAATTAACAAAAACACAACAAATTGAAATAAACAAACAAATAAAATTTGGGCTGAAGTAAGAGGAAGTACAAAAACAACAAATTGTCATCATTCAGGACAATTTACATGTTCAAAGGATGTAGGAAGAAGGAAAAAAAAAATCTCGTCGTACCCCTTGTTCTTTGTGAGTTTTTACTTGTTTGATATTAATGTAGTAATAGATCATTAATTTAGTATATCTCAATCTGAAAAGAAAAGGAAAAAAAGACCACGAACTTGCATGCCAACGAGCTTGCAAAGCAACACTTACAGATAGCAGGATATGTGATACAAGTTAACAATGTTAATCATAAAATTTCCACTGCATGGATAGTATGATAAGGCCAAACAAAAGTGTGTTTCCGGTAACATGAAATTTCAGCATAGGGTCGGTAGGTCGGACAAAGTTTTTTTTTTTTTTTTTTTAATCTTTTTTTTTCCCCATCAAAAATTTAAACAAAATAACCATAAAACATAAAAAAAGACATTGAACCCGGCGCTGCCGCCCCCCATTTAGTCTTCTCCTCGCTCCTGACTCGGGGGGCCGGGGCGCGCCGCCGCCTCCCCCGCCGTCCTCCTCCGCCCTCGGTTTTTACTCGGCCCGTGGTGTTCATCAAATAGTTAGCTGAATTTTTTAGATACATCAATGGATGCTATTTTCTTAACATTACGGTGCGAGCATGCGACTGTAACACAGAAAACGCGGTTTAAACTGTCGTCGGAGATCGCGGCCGCCGCCATGTTTCAATGTTGTTGACAGACGACAGGGCAAACAACGCACGCGCTCAACGTGAATATCGCGAGAGTTTGCACCGATGTAAATCCTCGACACAAAAATGTAGAGGGTTGTTTGAAAAAAATGCCGACCATAGAGTTTTTTTTCGACGTAGAAATTCTCAGTCGGTCGGGTTACCGGAAACACACTACTTTTTTTTCTACGCCTAATGACTTCTTGGCCATGTTGATGCGTGCTAAGGTGTGAAAAATGATTAATGCTCATTAAAAGTATCCAATAATTCACCATAACGAAGGATTATTTCGTATTGTGTGTGTGTGGCTTAATAACATTAACACTTGCAGTATTGAGGTCAATTTGAGTAGTTGCCACGGCCAACATGCAGCTCCGCCCCTGGGCACAGAGTTGATTTTTTTTTTTTTTTTTAATAGTGATACATAGAAAAAAATAACTGGTTTTTGTTTCATTTCTGACGGCGAGGTACCGTGGTACTTTTCTCGTACTGGTATATAGTGGGCGCGGCACGGTGGTCGACTGGTTAGCATGTCGGCCTCACAGTGCAGAGGTGCAGGGTTCGATTGCGGCTTCGGCCTTCCTGTGCGGGTACTCCGGTTTCCTCCCACATTTCAAAAACACGCAGGGCAGGTTAATGGAACACTCTAAATTGTCCCATTGCTGTGAGTGTGAACGTGGATGGCTGTTCATCTATATGTGCCCTGCAATTGGCTGGCAACCAGTTCAGGGTGTCCTACGCCTACTGCCGTGAAACAACGCCCCACGACCCTTGTGGTAAACAGTACACCCGAGATTCATATTTACCATTTGATGTCAAACCCAAATGTTCAATAATTTTGAAGGGGAGTGTAATGGGAATGAAGGCTAATCTAGCGTCTTTCATCTTGAACAGATGTCATTGATGATCCCATCCTCGAGCAAGGAGCAATAGTCCTCAGAGGGTAAGTCCAATCAAAATGACTTTTTTTCATGGAATTTGTCTTTCATGTTGGTTTGATTTTTCTCTGTTGTCTCATGCAGTATGATTCTTTTTAATTTTTTTTTGCACTGACACGATATTGGAAAAACATGTGATGTGGGTGTTGAATTTTTAACATTTTCCTTAAGAAATTAGATTTTTTTTATCTAATGAAATCATTTTTTTTTTCATGTGGCAAAATAAGCAGGCTCAATGTACTGGTATTCTCAATAATTGTAATAACTAAATTTAAAAAAAATAAGTGATTTTGTGTTAGTAAAGGTTCCCAGATACTGTTCACCTTTTGGATGTCGATGCACAAGTTGCGTCTGATTGGTCAAAGTCGGATAAAAGCACACACTTATTGGAGTTTTTTTGCAATACGCATATTGCACGGACCATTATTGCGATCACAATATATTTTTTGATATATTGTGTAGTAGTAGTGCACAGGTGCTTTTTGTTTATATATGTGTAACATAATGAGTTTGGTTGTACTTTGTTGAAATATTTAACAATGTACTCGTTATTTTTTTGATAACCCTCATTATCAAACCCATCAAAGTCCGAATCTTTTGCATCCGAAATGAACAGCTGGGCAAGTTCACCATCAAACACACCAAGTTCCCTCGCGTCATTGTCAGAGTCACTCTCGTTGCCGTCTGGCTCCTCAGAAATTATGCTGGCTTTTGTGCAAGCCAAGCCGTTAAAAATCCAAGCATCCACAATCCATTCACAAATTGTGGCGGAACTCTCCCAGCGCTGCCTCCCAGTCTTATTAAAGCTGTGTTTGCCATCGGTCCCACGACTCTCACAACTTTTCTTTGGCCGTTTCTGTCCATTACCGTAGCAACCAATCACAACAGTAAAAGCCGACTTCACGCGCCACATTGTGTGTATTGCTACTGTGCTAGTCCCCTTCTTCTCTACAATGTGGTTCACCGGGATGTCGAAAGTGAGCGGCACCTCATCCATGCTAGTGATTTAGTTGCATTGGATGTGTTTGTTGTCAATCTGTTTGTTGTATTCCAAAATGCAAAGTATACTTGTCCATTATCACTTGCCGTAGCCCGAATGGGAACGTGAGGATTGTTTGAGAGAGCAGTCGGTGGAATAGTCGAAGCAGAGTGGCAGAATAAAGGATTCAAATCTCCAAGAAAGCGTTTTAATCAAAACCCGCCTCAAAACTCACTTGTATTCTTTGGCATTTGACTCAGCATGACTTAGATTTGTTCTTGGTTTTGCTGTTCGGTGCTTTCTACCGTCTTTATTACCGGTTTGCTTTACTGTTTGTTGTATATGTTGAATTGCTCCATGTACAGCACTTTGTATGCAGCGATGGCTGTTTGAAAGTGCTCTATAAATACAGTTGAGTTGAGTTGAGTAATGCAGAACATTACATTTTTTTTACTGCAGTAGGAGTGGAAAATGGCCAGCTTTTCCTCATAATCCGCTGGATGTTGCTGCGCCACAGTCATCCTTGCCCAGATGGATAGATGGCAGCGTTTCATAAAACAAAAGGATTAGTTGATCTTGAACTCTCTGGCGGCTGCTCGATCCCATAGTCCTCTGCGTAACTGAGAGTTTGCAGTTTAAACTGTGCTTCATAGGTGCTATTTTCGGGATGTTGTTTTGTGCAATGCATGCACCGGCACCTACTGGGGGCATGCCTGTAGCATCCTCTTTCATGCCCACCCTTCCCGCTTTAATGGCCGCCTTTCCTTCACACAAGCTACATGTTGGCACGACATCAGTCTGCCAAGCGGCCCCGTCATCGAAGTCACACAGCAACATTCACAGATTTTGGAACTTGGTGCATACACAAGGCGACTCGCATTATCAGGCACCCCATTCCATTTGGGAGAAAATTTAAGACTTTTATGTGCGTCTTATAGTCGTGAAAATACAGGTATGTTCTTTCAGCAGTTTCACATGAAAAGTGCCCCTCGTGCCAAAGATAAAATCCGGTCAGATACATCAATAACAGAGAATAAATCCTCCTCAATTCTAACTGCATTCAGGTAATTATCAAAACACATAGTGATAACATTTGCGGTCAAAATAAAAGTCTTACCATCATAAATATGTTTTTTTTTCACTAAAAGTAGGGAATTAATTTTCACTAACCCACTCATACAAACGTTTAATTCTGGCATTCAGTCACATGTGTTTTCAGCCAGGAGGTGGTCTGACATATATGGTCTTGCAGAGCCTTTGGGCCACCAAAAGTGCATGGCGGAAAAACAGACCCCTGATACTTTTTTTTTTTTTTTTTTTTGCATAAAGTATTTTTTGTGATTTTTTTTTTCAAGCACTCAATTTCTCAGTGCCAACAAATTGTTTTTATTCAAATACATTTTACAATTCTTACTTAATGCAACTTTCGTGATTCCACTGAACATGGAGTGGACAGACTCTACTGTATATTACATTTTTAATGTTATTTTATATATACTGTATATTACTTTTTTAATGTTACTTTATATATATATTTTTTGTTTGTTTGTTTGTTTGTGCGGCCCGGTGGGCGAGTGGTTAGCGTGTCGACCTCATAGTGCAGAGGTGCAGGGTTCGGCTCCAGCCTTCCTTTGTGGAGTTTGCATGTTCTCCCTGTGCCTGTGTGGGTTTTCTCTGGGTACTCCGGTTTCCTCCCACATTTCAAAGACATGCGTGGCAGGTTCATGGAACACTCGTTCGGTGCTTTCTACCGTCTTTATTACCGGTTTGCTTTACTGTTTGTTGTATATGTTGAATTGCTCCATGTACAGCACTTTGTATGCAGCGATGGCTGTTTGAAAGTGCTCTATAAATACAGTTGAGTTGAGTTGAGTAATGCAGAACATTACATTTTTTTTACTGCAGTAGGAGTGGAAAATGGCCAGCTTTTCCTCATAATCCGCTGGATGTTGCTGCGCCACAGTCATCCTTGCCCAGATGGATAGATGGCAGCGTTTCATAAAACAAAAGGATTAGTTGATCTTGACCTCTCTGGCGGCTGCTCGATCCCATAGTCCTCTGCGTAACTGAGAGTTTGCAGTTTAAACTGTGCTTCATAGGTGCTATTTTCGGGATGTTGTTTTGTGCAATGCATGCACCGGCACCTACTGGGGGCATGCCTGTAGCATCCTCTTTCATGCCCACCCTTCCCGCTTTAATGGCCGCCTTTCCTTCACACAAGCTACATGTTGGCACGACATCAGTCTGCCAAGCGGCCCCGTCATCGAAGTCACACAGCAACATTCACAGATTTTGGAACTTGGTGCATACACAAGGCGACTCGCATTATCAGGCACCCCATTCCATTTGGGAGAAAATTTAAGACTTTTATGTGCGTCTTATAGTCGTGAAAATACAGGTATGTTCTTTCAGCAGTTTCACATGAAAAGTGCCCCTCGTGCCAAAGATAAAATCCGGTCAGATACATCAATAACAGAGAATAAATCCTCCTCAATTCTAACTGCATTCAGGTAATTATCAAAACACATAGTGATAACATTTGCGGTCAAAATAAAAGTCTTACCATCATAAATATGTTTTTTTTTCACTAAAAGTAGGGAATTAATTTTCACTAACCCACTCATACAAACGTTTAATTCTGGCATTCAGTCACATGTGTTTTCAGCCAGGAGGTGGTGGCAACACCAGGACATGACATATATGGTCTTGCAGAGCCTTTGGGCCACCAAAAGTGCATGGCAGAAAAACAGACCACTGATACTTTTTTTTTTTTTTTTTTTTTGCATAAAGTATTTTTTGTGATTTTTTTTTTCAAGCACTCAATTTCTCAGTGCCAACAAATTGTTTTTATTCAAATACATTTTACAATTCTTACTTAATGCAACTTTCGTGATTCCACTGAACATGGAGTGGACAGACTCTACTGTATATTACATTTTTAATGTTATTTTATATATACTGTATATTACTTTTTTAATGTTACTTTATATTTTTTTTGTTTGTTTGTTTGTTTGTTTGTGCGGCCCGGTGGGCGAGTGGTTAGCGTGTCGACCTCATAGTGCAGAGGTGCAGGGTTCGGCTCCAGCCTTCCTTTGTGGAGTTTGCATGTTCTCCCTGTGCCTGTGTGGGTTTTCTCTGGGTACTCCGGTTTCCTCCCACATTTCAAAGACATGCGTGGCAGGTTCATGGAACACTCTAAATTGTCCCTAGGCGTGAGTGTGAGGACAAATGGTTGTTCATCTGTGTGTGCCCTGCGATTGGCTGGAAATCAGTTCAGAGTGTACCCTGCCAACTGCCCGAAGACAGCTGGAATAGCCCCCCGTGACCCTTGTGAGGATAAAGCGGATCGGAAAATGGATGGATGGATGGATGGATATAGTGTATATATACATACACACACACACACACACACACACACACACACACACACACACACACACACACACACACACACACACACACACAGTATAAAGAATTTGTGAGAGAGATTTTTGGTGGAGCAATGCAATTCTGGGTTTCTTATAACTGTGTGAACTATTTCTATGCTCAACGTGTTCCATTGATTAAGAATTTTTCGATGCATTTTTTTGTTCATGGCAGGTATGTGATTGAGCGAATCAATACAGAAGACCCCAGTCGACATGTTACCTCTGAGGATTTAGGTGGACAATCAAATGAACAACAGGAGCCACAAATCAAAGAAGTTGTGGAACAGCTCATCAAGATTGCAGATGAGTTGAACAAGAATGCAGAGCTGCAACGGTATGCTTTAAACAGATAAAATGCTTCCTACTTGGTTAATGTGGTGACTTTACTAGCACACAATGTTTCATTTCATTTGTTAAGACACAGCTGTGATGGTTTCTCTCTCTGTGTCTTAAGGATGCAGGTTTCCATTTGACATATGTACTGCGTTTGTCAAAAAATAGTTTGTGGCGCCATTAATTTTACATTGTGATCATTAAAGGCTCAAGTATCAGAACATTTCTTTTTTAGTACTATATTTAGTCTTGAGTTGTATGTGTGCAGTACAGTGGTACCGCTACTTACGAAATTAATTGGTTCTAGAAGAAATTTCTTAAGTTAAAAATTTTGGAAGTAGAGACGCGTTTTCCACGTAAATGCCCGAATTCGTTCCAAGCCAACCAAAAAAATATTCTGACATCAATGTTTCCTCAAGAATAACAATGCATCAAAATATGTAACAAGTACGTATGTTACAATTTGATTATTGCACAATAAATGAGAGTTGTGCATAATGTAAAAAAACAAAGAATAGAGTCAAGAATAAAAATGATGGTCATTTAACTTTTAACTGCGTCCTCATCATTTTATGCCCTTTTTCGTTCATGTTCTCTCTCAGAAGTGGTTTTTGCCTGGCGTTTTGTAAAGAATTGATCCAAGGGCATTTGCGTTTGTCGGCTTTTCACAATCCTTCGAAAATGTCCAAGGCAAACTTCAGCATAGTGAGCGATCGCTCGACTGGTGAACACTTTTTCTGGGTGATTCACATTTACGTAAAACTATCGGAACACCTCATGGCCCGAGGGGCGAATGACGAGGATGCTGCATAGATAGATATCGATCTATCTACACACGTAGACACGCACGGTACAGGTCCCTCTTAGCCAATGGGATGCCAGGATGATGCTCGGTAATAGCCAATGGCACAGCAGCTATAAGTATGTTGCGTTCAGGAAACTCGGAGCTGCGCGTAGCGGGCCATACTGTATTTTTACCTTTCGTATCTTGAAATTTCTTTCGTAACAAGAGGCAATATTTATATCCTGTTGAGATAACTTGAACATTTCGTATGAAGAGACGTTCGTAAGTAGAGGTACCACTGTATATGTTTTCATACCGATGTTTTGAGGATGGTGGCGAGTAAGTTGCCATTTAGTAAAAATAGATTTTGACTGGAAGATACATAGATGCTGTGCTCTGATTTTAAAATACATAAATGTATGTTGATGGTCTTCTTCCACTGGAGCGATGAAAGTCCACTCAGGCAGGACTGTGCCTTTCCCGTTCGCCCCAAACTGGCTGGGACCGCTGCTTCCTTTTTGAATCAGGAAGCTAGCTCGTTCAGCTTCCAATCTGAACGGCCCATGCAGACTGGTCTCTACAAGCCATGATCTTGATACTCTTCTACCTTCTGCCCCTTCATATTCATCCAACCCCACCACTAGCTCCTTAGCAGCCTCGGCCATGGCGCTACACTACACATGCATGCAACTCCTCTGGCTAAACCACCAAACGGCTCCTTCCGCCGAACTGCATGTATTCGCAACATCCACAGAGGCTCCAATAGCAAGTTTGTCTCAAAGTTAATTGCGATAAACAGCATCCAATCGCTGTGGTCTGACTACAGCAAGGACACTAGATCCAGCACTTCCTCATTGCTTCATTACAACATAACATGTCACCGGAACAATCCCAGCAGAAATATTACAGAGTACCCACTGGTGCCCAATCAATTTCAGAACTAAGACAAAAGCACACAAAACTCGGCCTCTTGAACACAAGATTGCACAAACAATAAAAAAGACGTATGCTTATTCATTTTCGAGGCAATCATCACACGCTGTTTCGAGATATTTACCCATCCAGGTTTCAGGTATTCATGTGTGAAAAGGCCGTTCCTCCAGTCGAGCTCATCTTATTTATCGATGTATTTATTTTTTTTACCAATCCGTTTCTGACAGAAGCATTATTTTCATGCGTCTTATTTTGATTGATATCTACATTGCTGAACAAATATGTCGGCTATTTTGCTTCTGTTTATATTTGATCATTTTATATTGAAGCATTACTGGATACATTTCTCATATAATAGAGGTCTATTTAATGTCACTTCAAAAAGTGAGATGCGGCAAGCTGCTGTATGCAGTGATAATTTTACAGTTTGCCCCCAGCGCTGATCAGAAAAGTATGAGTCCCATTATGCATTTAGAGAGTCCCAAGTTTCGAATTCTGAAATGGTCTACTTATTCAATTGCATATGATAATAACACAAACAATAACATATACATACAATTATAAACGAAGGCTGCAAAAATTTAAATAATTCACTAGCAGGCCTGAGGATTTCAGAAATTCACGGGAACCATTTTCAGTTCCATCGGATTACCCAATGGGAAACCACGGTACCGTATTTTCCGCACTATTGGGCGCACCAAAAAGTCTTCCATTTTCTTAAAAGCTCACCGAGCGCCTTAAAATCCGGTGCGTCTTTTGTATGATCATTACGGTAATACGTCGACTCCAAGATGGCTCCTTCTTGGAGACATGTTTCCAATGGTATAACTTGCTGTTGGTTCAGAACTGTGTCACGGCTTCGTTAAATAAGTATGTGTTGCAGCTCCGAAAAAAGGAAAGCTGTGGTGTTAATTTTTTAAAACAGTCTCAACAAATACAGGTACGTCTTTGTCTATCTCCGTGCTTTCTTCCGTTCGACTCGAGAGCCATTCAAGACTGCCACCGAAAAACGTAAACTAACGATTACTTCAATGAAACTATAAAAATTGAAAAAAATACATCAAAACTGAAAAGCAAGCGAGGATATAACGAAATAAATTCTATTGCCCCCCCCCTGCAGAATTTATATTGTGATTTCATCATTTGTGAATACACAACAAAGGAATAAATAACTACGACTGACATCTAGTTGTGTTATTTTGACTTCAAGATGGCGCCGTGAGAGTGGCTGCCTTTCCAGCAGCTCCTATTTATTTTGTTCTTCAACTTCTTCCACTCATAACTTTGTTGCTGTGAAGTGTGAATTTCTCAATTGTGAGACTATTAAAGGTTTTCTTATTTTATCTTATCAGATTGTACTCTTGGAGCTACGATAAAGGAAATGCCACTGTTTTTTTCGGAGGCGGTCATGAACGCCTCTCGAGTTGACCGGAAGAAAAGAAGGGAAGGAGACGGACAAAGACACACCTGTATTTGTTGAAAAAATGAGAGCTGTGGTTGTGGTTTTATTATTTTTTTAAACGCAGACTTTATTAATGGTTTTCACAGTCTCAGCAAGTACAGGTACTGTACGTCTTTGTCCGTCTCCGTGCTTTCTTCCGTTCCACTCGAGAGGCGTTAATGGCCCTCTATGAAAAACGTAAATTAATTCTTACTTCAATTAAACCACGAAGAAAATCAAGCGAGGAAATCACAAAATAAATTCTGTAGGCTCCGCGATCACACTCGAGCTCCCTTCCCGCCAATTCCGACTTTTATTGTAACATACAAGGAAAACACTGCCCCCGACATTTGCATACCGCACCCCCGGTCTGGCCCCTCGGTAGTGATTGGTTACCTGAGTTTAAGCTTTGAACCACCGGTACATTGGCGCCTTTCTGTCTGGTCTACACTGTATCAACATGTTGCAGACTTTGCGGACGACAAATGTCGCCTGGGCGCGACGGGTGTTCTCAACTCGTCTTTTGTTGTTCAACCGCTGTTCCCAAATTATTCATTCCCCTTTTGTGACCGAGTTTCGCCCTCTCCCCTGTGATTGCCCACCTGCATTGACGTGCTAATTGTGGACTTCAACAGCCCTCCGGCCAGGTGGCCGGCGCCTTTGTGCACAGGCATTTGGGGGTGCTGGATACGCACCCAAACGTTTAGATGTGCCCAAATTAAATGAAACTTTAAACCTGATACAATTTTGCTCATAGATTCCTCTAACAGCGTACCACCATCTAGTGGACGTATTTGTAGATTGCGCCTTTTAGTGCGAAGCGTCTAATCTATGAAAAAATTTTACAAAATAGCCATTCATTGAAGGTGCGCCTCATAATCCAGTGCGTTTTATCGTGCGGAAAATACGGTAACTAATTTTGGGTCCGGTAAACATTCATCATGGGAACCCATTTTTCTATTTTGACTGATAGTCATAATGAAGAATTCTGAAACTCAAAAGTATCATGTTTCAAGTGTAAATGTTTGAAAACTATGCATGAACAATGAACATTACATCAGCAGCTGTGTACTCCAGGTTTATTCAAAAAAAATAAATGGATCAAAATATGTTGTACTCATATGGCACCATGAATACAGCATGCCACAAAATCAGAGTATTTTTTCCAATCTCACACTGCAAAAATTAATTTACTGGTTATCATTAATACAGATATAAGTATTGATGTGGCTTGACATCCTCTGCCCAAGATGGTGTATGTGTAATCTACTATCAATTTGACGAAAGAATCTAACACACGTCATCATTAGTTCTACCAACAGTTAACATTAGCATTACTACACCTTGTGACGAATGTTTTATTCCTAAAGTTACCATGCTACAACCAGTAAATTATAGAATAACCAATACTGTTTCATAATATTTTTCATAGCGATTAACCTATAGATCTAATGACAAACTTGCCTCGTAATCATGCCTCCCGTCGTATCTCGCTCTCGTGTTCTGTGCATACACCACAGGTGAGTTTAGTGATACGCCCTTCGGACGATTCAAATGAAAACTCAGACTGGCATTCCCATTTCTTAAATGTCGAAATTAGTAAACCTTTGTGAGTTTTTTTCGCCGCCATCTCAAACTTTCATCCGTGCGATTCCTCAGTTTGTAGACTAAAATAGCAACTCGCATGCGCACATAACGTTATCTGTTCCGTCCCCCCCAGCACTGAAAACAAAACAAAACGAAAGTAAATTAGAAGAAACACACTCACACCCCACACCACACACACACATACAGGCACAGTGAAATCGCGTTGATCACACAGGAGAGATTTGATCGCATATAGTCAACTCGTGTGCGGTGACTTTTATGGTTAAACGATTTTTCGGTACCGTCAAAATGACGCCATGGAAACAACACGCTACTGGTAACGATCGTTACCGTGACATCCTCAGGCCTGACGTAGTATTTTTTTGTTTTTGTTTTGACTGAGAAATTTCCTTGCGTCCCAAAAACGCACATTATTTGGAACTGTGCGTCCCGCAGGAAAATTATGCATCTAGGACGCGGGACACAGAGGTAACAAGATGGCTGTGTATGTTGTATGATTTTTATTTTTTATTTTTTTAATGGAATAGCTAAAATATAGAAATATATATATCATTATCGTGATCTAAAATGCCCGAGATTGTGATACAGTAAATATTCTCTAGGGCGGACTCGTGTTTTCGCTGTCCAATTTGTCAAATTCCTCATTTGGGAAATGAGCATGGTACATGTCCTTTATGAACCTGCAAGTATGTTGACAAAATGCACGTGTAACAACACAATCAATAAAATACAAAAATATACTCTCCAAAAACTGTTTATATAACAAAAACTGCAATACAGGTGTATC